GCAACCCCTTCAAGACCAACAAAAAGGTAAATACAGATTAACTGCCCATGTAAATAGTGAGAATACATAAGAGTGGGCTTGATCTACTCAAAGGGATCAAGAAAATCTTCCTGGTAGTAAAAGATCATTTTAGGCTGAGGGACCACAACATGTGAAGTCTTGAAGGCAGGGAGAAGTACATCACATTGGAAGAAACTGAAAGGGGCTACACACATTGGTTTGGTAGGATAAAGTGAAGTGAACAGAGGTGGGGAAGGAGAGAATCATTAGCTCATGGTGCATGCTGTTGAGTATTTTGGAATTTATTCCTACAGAAGCAGGAAGCCTTTAAAAGGGTTTCAAGCAAGACTATTACATTTTGTTTTTAATGAGGAACCCCTACACCCAATACAGGGACATGACTGGTATAAGATATTCTTATAGCCAGATGATGATAGTAGTTAAGGGTGGTGGACAGAAATGGATGGATTTAAGACAAGAAGGAGAGAGAATGAAGAGGATTTGGTGACTGATTGGTCATCGGACATTGGAGCAGTGATGTGAGAAGTGTCATAGATGACTTCCAAGTGTCACACTTGGGCATCCGGGGCCATGGTGGTGCCATTCACAGAGGCAGAGAATATTGGACCAGGATAGGTTTGTTAGGGAAACATCTCAAATTCAGCTGGACTTTCTGAATTTGATTTACCAGTAAAGCATGTGTTTGGAGATGTCTGCTATAAACCCTACCAATGGGTCTGCATCTCAGATGAAAGATGTCAGCATATATCCAGATCTAGGAGTTGCTATCTAGAAGGTGTCTGAATTCATGACAGTGATAGGCTAATCCACAGAAAATATGCACAAAAAGACATCCTAGTCCATGTTTGGTTATGTACTCTACTTAAACATATCAACCCTTTAGAGCTTCATCCAGAGGCAAGGCTAGGCTGGAGTACAATATAGCTAGAAGAAACAGAGAAGCTAGAAACTCATGGTTTCTTTTATATGTGGCCACAATCTTTCTCTCTTTTTCTCCTTCCTCCTCAAGCTGTATGTTAGGAAGGGCTGTAATGGAAATGGGTGGGTTTTGAACATTGTTGGGGGTTATATGGAGATCATATTCCCACTGCTATTTAAAGCTACCTTCACAGGGCCTCCCCGGTGGCGCAGCGGTTGAGCGCTGGGTTGCGAAGCCTCTGCGGCCTCTGCGGCGCCGGTTCGATCCCCGGCTACTCCCCGGCCACCACAGGAGGGTCCCACATGGCGCGCAGACCTCTCCTGCCGCCCGCTGCTCCCCTCAGCAGTGTACTTTGGTCCTTCTGCCTGCTCTGCTCCCCGCTCTGGCTCTGGTGAATTCTCTCACCCTCCCGCGCTTCTGACTGTACCCAGTGCATGTATAAACAAACAAACAAATAAATAAATAAATAAAAACTCATGCCTCATTAAAAAAAAAAAAAAAAAAAAAAAAAATAAAGCTACCTTCACAGAGTTAGATTTCCATTCCTCCTGCTAAATACAAGCTAACACTGGCCTTTCTGTTTAATCCCTAACTCAAAAATTCTGAGTTACTGAAATGCAGATTAATACAGCCTTACTGTATTCAAGAAGATTTTTTTTTTAATTTAAAAAATAGATATGGTCATTTACAGTAAATCCAAGTGAGGTAAACCAGACAAAGAAATGCAAATACTGCAAAGTATCAGCTATATGTGGAATCTAAAAAGGTATAACTCATAGAAACAAAAAGGAGAAGAACAGTGGTCAGGGGTTAAGGGAAGCAGAAATAGGAGAAACTGGTGAAAGGATATAAACTTTCAACTATGAGATAAATAAAATCTGGGAGTCTTAACTACAATGTGGGAACTATAGTTGATATTATATAATTGAAATTTGTTAAGGGTTGTGTAATTAGCTAAATGGAGAGAAGTCCTTTCACTATATACGTATATCAAATCACCATGATGAATACTTTAAAAATCAGTCTTGTCACTTATATCTCAATTAAGCTGAAATTTTTTTAATTCATAATTTGGATTTTTGTGGTTTTCTTTTCTAGTGGTCAAGGGAAACTACTTTGCCCATAAATATTAAGATTATATGAATCTGGCCTCCCCGGTGGCGCAGCGGTTGAGCGCTGGGTTGCGAAGCTGCCCGCGGCCTCTGCGGCACCGGTTCGATCCCCGGCTGCTCCCCGGCCACCAGAGGAGGGTCCCACATGGCGCGCAGACCTCTCCTGCCGCCCGCTGCTCCCCTCAGCAGTGTCCTTCGGTCCTTCTGCCTGCTCTGCTCCCCGCTCTGGCTCTGGTGAATTCTCTCACCCTCCCACGCTTCTGACTGTACCCAGTGCTTGTATAAATAAATAAATAAATCTTAAAAAAAAAAAAAAAAATCACTGAAGCAAAACATAGGTTTAAAAAAAAAAAAAAGATTATATGAATCGATTTTATTTTTGAATATTCTAATACCATTATTAAATCAAGCAGTTTCCCAGAGGTACTCAGTTAAGCAATCACCTTTCCAAAAGTCTCATGGGGAAATAGAAAGATTCAACCCATTGATTCAGCTGGTATTGCTAGCCGATTTCCCAGCCAAGCCCTGAGACTCTATGATGACATGAATTTTCATCATATTCTGATACAATAGGGGCTAAATCTTATTTTATAAAATGGAACAAATGATTTAACATGGAATCTAAGCCTCAACCCTCAACATCAATATTATAAGATGATTTCACTCTCTTCAGAATGGGATATAACAAAATAGCCACTAAACTCTGGGAAAACTGGGTTTTTTAGTTCATATAATTTTCTGTGTTTAACAACTTAGCATAGCTATATGGCCAACCAGATCCCTTTATGACCTTTATTTGTCATATGTTTTTTTTTTCTTTTTTTCTTTTTTTTTTCTGGGGCCCTGGCCCGCGGCTGGGGAATGAACAGGCACTGCAGAGGCTGCGGGCAGCCTCACAGCCCAGCGCTCAACCGCTGCGCCACCAAGGAAGGCCCTATTTGTTATGTGTTTTATAAGTATCCTAGACACTTTTCCCCATGAGGAAAATCACCCTAATGGGAAGGAAGGAAGGAAGGAGAGAGAGAGAGAAGAAGAGGGAGAGTGAGAAGAAAAGAGACAGAGAGAGAGACAGAGAGAGACAGAGAGACAGACAGTAGTCATCATCAGGCTCACAGCAGGAGCAAGCTTTTCTATTTTCTAGAAGAGCCATTTTGATTTGTGCTGTTGAATAGACTGCTCTCTGCGTAGGAAGGATCTTGAAGGCATGCAGCTCTCCATCCCAAGCAGAGGCTCCTAAAAAGAAGGCAGAACTGTGTAATATAATCTCCAACTTAGTCATGTCTGCTCCCTGTACCATGCTTACTCTCTCTCCGACCTTTCCTGTTCCCCTGTCCTGCTCTAAAAACCTTTATATCTTTCTATTTGTGAACTTCAGTGATAGATAGCCTTCCAATTTTTCTTTTTCGTTTTTTGGGTTTTCCTTTTTCGTTTTTTTTGCAAAATACATAAAATGCTTGGCTGTTAGCACCGTCTGTGCTAGTTATGTAAAAATATTTCTAGGCTATATCTGTAAACCCAGTTATTCGTGTGCCATGAGAAAAAGGATCAAACATGTTTACAGTCTTTATTACATCTCATGGAAGTTTATATCTGAGAATTATTTTCTTATAATTACCCTAGCCTCACACTGATGACCATGTGAAGAAAGAAAGCTGATTAAGAAGCTATTTGAATCTAAGTAACCCTATATTTGAAACTAAATAAAGACAGGACAAGTATAAATACACCCAATTTTTTTTTTAAGTATGAGTGACATCCTTCTTTTCCAAGCCTCTTTTCCTGCTCTGATCCTATGAGGGATTTTCAGATTTGTGAGAGTCCATTATCCAGGTTCATGGCCACAGATTGAAAATGCCCTCAATAAGAACGGGTTGCCTTTCACTGTTTCAGTAATAGGTTCTACCTGGTTATATAAGAAAATTGCCTTCAGGGAGGGAGGGCAAGGAAAGCTACATGTTGATATTTGTGATATAAAAGGAAAATCCAAGGATCATGAGGAAGCTATTGTGGTTCTATTAATGTTCCAATTCATCTTTTAGATTTTAGTTAATCAATTATGTGCTTCATGAAAAATCACCCAAATGCACTTGCTTGTGCATTTTCCTACATTTTATAGTTCAGTAAGAAGTACAAAAAATCCACTAATGTAGCTCATCTCTCAAAAGTTTGAGAAACAGATGACATCCAAGCCATGGTGAATTGACCTAGAGCTGTGTTGTCCAATAAGGTATTTTCTGGGCCACATGTAGCTACAGACCACTTAACTATGGCTGGTACAAATTAAGGTGTGCTGTAAGTATAGCATACAGACTGGATTTTACAGATACAGTATGAAAAAATGTAAATTATAGTTAACAATAATTTATAGTTATTTGTAATGCTGATGTCACATATTTTAGATATATTAGCCAAAGTAAAGTACATTATTGAAATTAATTTCACCTTTTTAAAAAATATATGGCTACTAGGAAATCAGACATTACATACATGTCTCTCCCCATATTCCCTTGAACATGATGGCCCTAGAGTTTAACTGTCCTACTGGGCTGGGTGTGAGGGAAGTTATCATAGATCCTGGCCTCACACACTCATACCAACCAAATATTTTCCAACTTCTCTTGAAATACTACAGAATATATTATATTCTAGGGGAAAAATAATTATTTGCCTTGATTTGAAAACTTGGGCTAAAAATATACACATACTCAATATTTAAAAAAATTAATGTTCAATTAAGTTGTGAATTAATAACAGTGATCAGTATAAAACATTTTAAAATAAAAACAGTAAAAGTAACACTTCTAAAATGGCCAAATTGAAAAGTCAGCATTCAGACAATCATCTGTCAAGACCACTATAGCAAAGGGAAATAATACATTCTTTCTAGGGTTTATAGTCTTCCCCTTTGTCTAATTTCTGCTTTCTGTTGAATATTTTTACAGATTTAATATTCAAGCTATGAAAAACATTGTTCCATCAGCGGAATCTGGCACTATAGCAGGCTCTTTAGAGAACAGGTTTGGCATTTCTAATATTCACTCTGGATTTGTTAAGTGGTTTGCAGCTGAGAAGCTAGAACAACTACTTTCCATAGTATACATTTTAAAATGCTCAGAGGCAAATTCTCCTTAAGAATTATGATAGTCTGTGGATTATGCAATCAGTACATTATCAAAAATGTGCTCTTTTGATTATTACAATAATCTAAATATTGCTAATTATAGTATTACATGCTAACTAGAATATAAGTACAGATAATACATTCTTTGATATGTATTCCTGCTACTGGCAAACTCTGAAACAAATTAGATATTATTTCTAGAAAAGTATGCCCCAAAAGTCAAGACAAGAAACACTTAAATAGGCCTAGGAAAACTACGTTTTTCTTCCATGACAGTCATTGAGGAAATATCTATAAATGGAAGTTTGAGATATTTGGGTACACTAAGCAAGGGTGAAGGAAGAAATTTCTGTAATTGTATTCTTCTGTTTGTAGAGATTCCAATCTGCACTCTTGAACTGAGTATTCCATGCAAAGAGCTCACAAAGAGAACATTTGTTCTTCTTACATATAACACTAATCATTTTTTAATATTTAATAGTCATTGGATAAATCAAGTACTCAGCATCTATAGGACAAATTTATTCTTTGACTGCAGCAATAATATCAAACAAATGTTATTTGATATCATACTCAACTCAAAGATTGCTTTGTGTTACTGTAAACAAAGTGTGGTAGTGAGCTAGCAAAAGCACAATAAATTTAATATCCATGTTTCAAAAACAAACTACCAATAAAGGCTGACCAAAAATCAAGGAAGCAATGGCAAAAGAAAAAAAAAGTCAGAGGAAAAAGAAAAGAGCATAGAAGATGAGATGGGGAGGAAAGATCTGGCTATAGAAATACATCAGCGATTCATGCCAACGCCTTCAAATCTTTGCCCACATTTCCCCTCTAATCGCAGAAATCCAGTAAATATACAATTTGTACCCCTTCACCTGCCCTCCTGAATCCCTTCATTAAGCTTTTCACTTTCCAAGACACAATATTTTTAATCTGTTTAAGCACATAGAAAACGTCAAGTATTTAATAAGTACTCAATAAATATTTGCTGAATAAGTGGGTGAGGTGATTATTGTCTCTACTAAAAGTTGGTGCTTTGCATGACTGAATGATAGAACTTTTTTCATTGAGTGGTACCCATGACTCAGAAGGCTGAGAATTTTGCTCTTTAAATTTGCAATTCTGTACACAAAAACACTGTTAAGTTTTGGGGGGATGGTTCAACAACAGGAATGTTTTCAACAAATTCCGTATATTATCATGTCACACAGGGGATGGTTTTGAGCATTCAAATAAGTAAATCACCTGTTTCCTTCTTTTTCATTCTATTTTCCTTTGTTCCAATCATCTTTCTTTTATTATCTCTTTTATCTCAATATCTGTGTATACTGCAACTTAGATGAATTTATTATCCTTATTGTTATTGGGGTCTCAGCAACATGTGGGCATAGAGTAGGAGGAGGGAATGGGATCTGGATGGGTTTGGGGCTGAAAATTCATCTTCTTAGGAAAAGCAGGACTTTCATCCAAAGGACTACAGCAAAATCCAACTTGATTCAAGCAGTGTGATTTCCAAAAAAGACACAAGAACAAGAACTGTTGGGTAACAGCAGCAGGAGCTCAAAAAGAAGCCCATTCTTGAGAGGGAAGCCTAGGAAATGTTTTCAGTCACCATTTTCTAGGATGTGTTCTGCAGAATACTAATTCCGTGATTATTAATAGATTTGTGTAAACAAAAAGGGTTCTACATTCAAGTCAGTATGGGAAACACTGACTTAGATAGTATTCCTTTAATGAAAGACTTTGCATGAAGACTGCATTAAGACTGAGACTTTAAGATGTTACTATATGATGTGAATCTCCAAGAGAGAATTTTCATTTGCAGCATTTCCCCATTTTTGTTTCCCCAAAACCATTTCTCTGCAGTTCTTAGAGGGCAGGCAACTCTTTCATCATGCACTGCTGGGAGGAAAAGGGTAGTTTGGTTAGAACTGGGCTGGGCCCCAAGTTTTCTGCCAAGAAGTTTGGGGTTCAAGTCAGGGCTTCAGTGCCAAAGAACCAAGGTGAGGGCCAAATCATCATGGAAGTGCAGTAGTAGAGGAGCTCAGGCTTGGAAACCAGGTAGATTGCTTTGGAATACTAACTACCACTCCTCTCTCTATTTGATAAATATGGGGTAAGTTATTCAGTCCTCTGTAATCTATGAAATGGGGATAATAATGCCCCCCATAAGGTAATGGTAAAGAATTGAGTAATATATCTACAGTATTTTTCATAATACCTAACACAAAGTGAAATTTCAATAAATGAGAGAACATTTCATTTCAATAAATGAATATAGTTTGGGGAAGGTTTACATTTTGTTAATGATGACATCCTTTAAGCTGGTCCAACTCTTCTTGGGGTAGGTGTGCTTTGCAATTCAGTGGGCACTCTGGTGACCCTGCATGTCACAAATGCCAGCACTTCTGCCAAAGCTGCTGCAGGAAGCTGTGACTCATAATATCTGTATTTCTTCTTCCTCTACTCTGCATTCCACATAACATGCAAAATATCAACACAGTGACTGACCTCTAGTTACCATAGCAAACTACATTTGAATAGGTAGTTGAGCAAATGACTATTTCTTATAGGTTGCCATTTTTTTCTCATCAAAATATTGAAAATTCATTTTTCATTAGCTAAGCCTTTTTATAAATTCCATAGAGAAAAAAGCCAAATTGTTAACATGAACAGTCTTACAATATTCTTTTGGTCACAGTGTATCAGACTGCCTCATGAATAAAAGGTTATTAATATAACTTAATATTACCTACAATAATGATTATTACAAACAATAGCTTTCTTAAAATGGTCTAGATAATTCTGCTTATGTAGTGACAGTATAACAAAATATTAGATTTATATATTTAATTCAATCTAATTTTTCCTAAACTGTCTCAACTTTTAACATGTGCTTTCTCCAGAAATACATGTTTGCATTGCATGTGATTTTTCTGCTTGTAATTATAGAGTGTTCGGTGCTGTCTAACAGGACCTAGGCACATGGTTCTCAATGACCCGCTATTATGGGGAACTACTGGAACTCTCTGCCAGACCTTTCAAACATTTTGTTCATATCTGAGAGGGGCAGCCGAACATATGACTTCCTCTAATTACATTCATGCATGAAAACTGAAATGAGCGTTTTAAAGCTAAATCACAAGACTGGGCCTCCCCGGTGGCGCAGTGGTTGAGTGCTGGGTTGCGAAGCTGCCCGCAGCCTCTGCAGCACCGGTTCGATCCCTGGCCACCGGGTGAGGATCCCACATGGTGCGCAGACCTCTCCTGCTGCCTGCTGCTCCCCTCAGCACTTTGTCAGTCTGCCTGTTCTGCTCTCTGTTCTGGCTCTGGTGAATTCTCTCACCCTCCCATGATTCTGACTGTACCCAGTGCCTGTATAAATAAATCTTAAATAAATAAATAAATAAAGCTAAATCACAAGAGTTTCACCTTTTCTACAGAAATAGTTCTAATTTTAGATTTCAAGTTGATTTTTCATTCATTTTACCATTTAAATCAACTGAAGTTCTAATTAGAAGGATTTAATTAAAATTAGATTAATTTGAAAAAATCCAGCTTGGTACTGAATGCTCCTACTTTGCATATGTCCTGTCACTGTTCACTCAGACAGCAAATATTTATTGAGCAGTGACTGTTTTGCACATTACATAGGATGCTGTGCATGAAATAGAGATAAATTAGTCACCATCCCTTTCCTCTGCAAGTTGATAGTTCCATAAGAGAAACAAGGTTCAGATGCAAATGTTTGCAATCATTCATACAAAGGAATCATATGAATGGGAGAAAAGGCAACAAGAAGACATGCCAGCCATCAGTAACTCAGACAAGTAACTCAGACCAGCAAGAGATGAGTCCTTCCATAAGGAGAATTTGTTCATGCTAAGGTGTCTCCTTTCCAGAATTCTCTTTCTCTCACTCACTCTTTTAATCGATGCTTAATGATGTTGGTGTTCTGTGTATTTGTTGCCTTAAACAGTAGAATCAGTCACCTCACAGGCTCATGCTCCTGGGAGACAAAATAGCCCTAAGAGATACAATATTTAGAAGACTTATTAAAAAAAAAAAAGGATGGAATTAAAATTTTAGTGATGAACATATGTCGTATATACGGGTGTTCATTTATAATGATGTGTACCTGAAACCTATATAATGCTATAAACCTGTGTTACTATAATTAAAAAAAAAGACTTTATAAAGGAAAAAAGTCAATAGGAAAAATACTAATCAAGTGCTGATTCCAAATCTTAAAAAAAATGAGATTTTGTTGTTTATACATATTAACTTAGAAATAGTCTTCTTTGAATTAACATCTGCAAGAGTATACCCAAGGTTTGGAACACTAGTGAAGGCCAAAAGGAAGATGATCAGGCACAGAAAGTGCCTCTAGCAGAGAGTAGCCACAGGAATAGCAACCAACAGTTCAGTCTATAAATGTTTGCAAACAGATGCCCTCAAACACAAGCACTGGCATGAAGAAGCAGAGGCATGAAGGGAGCATATTAGTCATTTCCTCACAGGGAGAGTGGGAAAGCCAGCACTAGCATGCTGGAGAAAAGCAAAATCTAAAATAACCTTACTAAATTTGAGAAGTGGTCGGAATGCTTTTGTAAGTTTTCTGAAGATAAATGCAGGTTAGTACCTTCAGGAAAAGGAAATGAACTCTACAAATATAGGATGAGTTGAGACTGGCTGCAAGGAAGATGTCTCAACAGGAGCCAGCAATGAAAATAGATAAGCTGAAAATGGTCAGCGCCAGCTTTCAGAAAATTGCTGCAGGTTTAGAATGCACAAGCAAGGCCTGGAGGGACAAGGAGCTCCTTCCCTTCTTGGTATTAGCCTAAGCTTCCCAGAGCACTGTGTACATTACCACATCCCATAGTAAGAGGGAAA